AACTAAGTATTATTAGTTTAGAATTTGGATGGACACGTAGAAATCTTAGTTGGATCGTAAATTTTGTGAGATACGGAAGATAATTTTCCGTGAACGTAATCGTTCCGAGTTCGACGTGTTGCAAATTAAAATACGTCAATGTATATGTTAATATTATAACGGTGAATATTTAATTCACCGTCATCTTAGTAGTTGATGGGTGATATTATTAGTTTAAACTTTAGTTGATTAGTGATAATAATTAATTATTTTCCATATGGTGTTAAAAGGGAGAAGAAATTCTGTTTTCATTTTGATTTCTCACGAAAACCTCTCTTAAGACACAAAAAACTTACTTGGCATTTGGAGAATTCATGCATGGCTACATGTCACTCTTAAACTTAGCATCTTACACTAATATGACACCTAACCATAAGCCATCATCACTCTTTTATATTAGTCATCCCTATTATGTCTTGGCCACCAATTGAGTGAGATGTTGTCACCTATGAGTACATGCATTCTTCCACCTAAAAATCTACTCTTACACATCACTTTAACCTTGGTAACATCGAAGGAAATTTGTCATCTTGGCCGTAACTATTCTTCACCTTCAAACCTTCAAAAATATTACTTTCACCACTCTCCGATCCAAGAATATACAAGGTGGTTTTAACTTTGAATTGTTTAGATCTTTTGCGATGTAAGTGAAAACTCTAGACGTTAAATTAATTCAATCTACTTAACACTTTTAACTTGGTTGGTTGAGATATGCCATTTTGATTTGCTATAGTATTATGGATATGGTGATTGTTGGATTTGTATTGCTGGTCTTGTACGTGTTCAAAATGTGTGCAATTGGTTTTCTTAAAGTATGGTATAGTTGGTAGGTGAAATTGATATATCTAAACTTAGAAATGTTATCTTTGAATTTCCAGACTCAAACGTTGCAGGTAATTCCACCTTCCACTCTCCGGGCAAATGTACTTTCTAAACAGATTTACTTCGGAACCTAAGTAGATATAGTTCTAAACCCAAGTAGATTTGACTCTCTAAATCTAAATGTATTTATCTCTAAACCCGAGTAGATTTTGTTGGGAAAACTTTTTAATAGATTTTGAAGTTGACAAAACTGTCCATAAGTATTTTGTAAGTTTGATGAATGCTTTGAAGTATTTTGATTCAGGAAGTTATACTTTGAAGATGGCAAACTTTTTACTTCAAGAAGTTCAGACTTTATATATGGCAGAAGGAGAAGTTCAGACTTTATACTGCAAAATCTAAAGTTCAGACTTTATATGGCATATGAAGAACTTCAAACTTTATAATATAATCGAAAGGTTAAAACTTTAGAGAAGAACCCATCCTGACGTAAGTTCTGAATGCAAGATCAGGTTATATAGAACCAGACTATATCTAGACTTTGACGCGAACTCAGAACGTACACAACGGCTAGTAATCTGGTTTGGATTTCATAAATTAAAAATCTTAGTTGACTCAATCTCAAAGGTTATTTTGCAAGGGAAATTTATAATGCAAAATATCTTAAATTGATTGACAATCAACCTCGAGACAAGTTTCTTTCTAAATGGAGAGGCTCTTCTTATGGAAACCCAAATTCTGGTTGTGTGGGCAACCAGATTCAATGGAATTCATATTTTTTCCTTCAACGGCAACTCAATCTTCTTGATATAGTTCTGTCTAACGGATAGATTGGAAGACGATCCTCTAGAGACTATTCAATAGTTAGATTGGAAGTACAGGAGTATATAAGGAGACCAAGAGCCAAGGAGCAAAAATAAAAGAGACAAAATCAAGAATTTACAATTCCAAAGTCTGAGCATACTTTGACCATTACTGCTTGTCTTTCATGAGCTAAAATATGTGATCTTGAGAGATATTGTAAGAGTGATTGAGTGAGATTAAGTGACCTATCATTCACAAGAGTATTATCACTCAAAATCTGTAATCTCTTCGTTAATCATCTAGTGGAATCCAGCTAATAAGCTATCAGCGTGAGAGAATGGACATAGGCTTAATTTAAACCAAACCACTATACGTCTTTGTGTGCAATTTTTCTCATTTTTTAAAGCTCCTTTCATTTATTACATTGCACACTTACACAATTGCTATCAAAGACTGTTTAAAATCTAAATGTTATTCAAACTTTATTCTTGATCTTTCATTTCCGCTTTAAATTAGTCAAGAATTGTTTAAAATCACCTCTTCACCCCCCCTCTAGGTGATCCTTGCTAGCCACCTCAGATTTTAGTCTCTAAATCTGAGTCTGTTAATTTTTTATACCCGAATAGATTTTACTTTCTAAATCTAACTGTTTACTTCTAAACTCGAGTAGATTTTACTTTTTGAATCTAAGTCTGTTTACTTCTAATCCCATGTAGATTTTACTTTATAAACCCAAATATATTCACTTTTTGAACCCAAATGTATTTATTTTCCAGATTTGAAAATATTCACTTTGTTTTCAAAATATACTCCTTTATTTGTCCAGACTAAAAAGTACTCATTGTTTGTCCCGATTCAAAATATACACAGTTATTTGTTTAGACTTTGAATATACTTGTTTATTTGTTCAGATTCAAAAATGCTCATTGTTTGTCCAGATTCAGAATATATTCAGTTATTTATCCAGACTTAGAATCTACCCATTTGTATGTTCGGATTCAATTCGTATGTTCAGATTCATATCCATATTTACGTTCAGACTCAAGTTGTGTGTCTAGATTCACGTTCAAATTCCCATTCAGATTCAATTCGTGTGTCCAGATTCATCTTTAGATTCACGTTCAAACTTAATCCTTGAATATAGTCATTGGCTTGCTCATAACCACTTTTGAAATATTCCCAGTTTCTGAATATATTCAACTAATGAGTCTTATCACACATTGCTTCTTACTTGTTTGACTAAGATCTCATTTCTTGAAGAATATATGGTGGAGCAAGAAGGTGAGTATGCATATTGAAATGCTTATAAATACTTATGGTTATGGTTTGCATGAGAATAATATAATTCTGTCACCCATAAATAAAAAGGTATTGTGTAATATCAAAATAGGAACGGTATAACATTTATTCATGTTCTCAGCATACTTATTGGTTATTATGCATTTGTGTTGTTTATACCAGGTGAAGTGGTAAAATAATTTTCTAGAGATTTCATTTACTGAGCCTCGGTTCATTCATTTATTTTCCAAACATGTAGGAATAAACAATCTGTGTTATAAAACCCACCCATGGGTAGCTTAGTTGGTTAGGGCGTACTTGAGATTGTGTGGTTAGGCACACTGGTCCCAGGTTCGATTCCTCAGCTGAGCACTTGTGATTTAAGTGGGGGGCCATGGCGGTGGGTTGCTGTGCTGGTCTCCCCCGAGGAATAGTCGAGGTGCGCGCAAGTTGGACCGGACACCTCGGTTACCAAAAAAAAAAAAACAATCTGCTGCCAATGCTTGCTTGTTTTCCTAGACACTGTGAATGCTAGTATGTCGATATGCTTTTCCCAGCTGCAGATATAGTTTATACTAAATGTATATCCACCATTTGGGTTGATGTGGGGCTCCCAGAGTGGGTTCCTCACCGGTATATAGCATGGTATGTGAACCTCAATGGCGACTCGGTTGGGCCGTTGTAGGATTTTGGTTGATACGACGGCGGCGATGTCTATGACTTGTCATTGGAGAGACAGACGATCCATGATGTAAAGTCCACCTATGTACAAGTAGTCTTTTGGAGCATAATGTAATATAGAGATAGGTGACCTCAACCTACTCAGACTTTTGTGTTTTTGTGAATAATGAAGTGGTTGTAAATATGATAAGTAATATAAATAAAGAAGTACTTTGACTATATTACTATGAATTTCATTGTTAATAAATGTTCAGATTTTGCTTCCGCTTGACTAAAAATTAATAATCGTAAGAAACATGTGTCGAGTGTGACGTTTTGGGGCGTCACATACTTGGCTTTAAACTACTATTTCGTGCTTCACAGATCCGATGAATGAAAGATGAAAGAGAACACAAGAAAAAAATAAGGCTCCTACCATGAATGATGGAAGAAAATAGATGAACAAGCTTGGATGGACCTCTCTCAACTTTCTCACTCTCATTTCCTTCTCAACTGACTCTCTGGCGCTCTCGGCCAACCTATAGCTCACGGCCAAACTCACTCTCACTCACTCACTCACAGTTTGGGAGACCCGTGGGAGATGCTCTCCAGCTCACTCTCTATTTCCCTCGCTCCCTCTCTCTCTCTTTCATGGCTTGAATGGTTAGGAAGTGAAGAAATTTCTTTTTTATACTCCCCAATTTAGGCTCACGGTTTGGACCCGTTTTTATGGTGCAATGGAGGTCCTTATCTAAGCTTAAAATGGTGAGGTATTTTGTCCAATGGTTTGTACTATGCATGGGATTATTGGCCGGTCAAAGGGAAGGGGATTTGTCCGTTGGTTTGTGCCATACTTTAGGTATTGTCCATTCAAAAGAGGAAGCCTTTTTGTCTAAAGGTTTGTACCAAGCTTGGTGGTTCAAAGTTAGTCTATCGGCCCTCGGATTTAGAGGTGTATGGCTGGCCAAGGAGATCCCATATTGACTAATTTGGTTCAAATTTAATGTGCCATTGTTTCCCTATATGGTATACCTAAAAATAGCCTCATTTGCTTGTCCAATCTTTTCCTATTAAATCACCAACGTGTGAGGGCAAATTAAAAGGGTTAATGATGTGAAAATTTGAAGTAAAATGGGTGATTAGAGGGTGGCCATTATTTGGACGAATTTTAAAAGTAAATGATGTGGGGCATGCGAAAATGAGATATACGAATTTGAGTCCATGCAAAGTACAATATGCGAGTTTATGCAATATTGATGTTTTTGGTTAGGGATCAAATTCTAAATGAAATCGATCCCTAATTTTCTTATGAAATGCACAAATAGTCTGTTAGCAGAAATTCAAGTGTAAACACTATATTTACATTGAAAGAAGAACCAGAAAAGATGACCAGCATGTAATGAAAAATTAATGTAAAAATTAACGATGTCGCTCGTGTCAGAAGATGCAAAACATCCTTTTCCTTCAGATAAGCCTATGACAGCGTTGATTTTGGCACGGGAATTCATAAACTTCATCTGGAAGTGAGGAGACACATGCTAACTAAAAATTTGTCCAATCAACTAAAGGCATAACGTCATAGGTAAATAAAAATGAGAACTCCATCGGTACCTTAGTAGCCTCTCAGATTGTGCCGAAGCCAGATGGGTCTTCATTTCTGCTGCGACCAAACATAAAAGTGACCCAGTTTCTCAGTGACCAATCTGCCAGAAAGTCGCATAATACTTGAGCCCTTAAAGATTTTGCCATCTGAAATTTGAGGAGGAAATCAACCGGTGCACGGCTTTCCTTTTGGAAGAGACAGGTGTAATCACCTGGAGGGGCTGCTTTTTGTTCATGGCGGTTGATTTGGTTGGCCTCGACTTGTCTGTAAAGGGACTTCAATAGAGTCAAACTTGAAATTGACTCCAATAAATTTGCCCATCGCTTCTTCCCGTTTCTCCATTAAGTTTTTCCGCGGGCTGCTCCCCCGTCTTCCCTTAACAGTGTGGATGCCATGCACAGGTATCTGTTAAAACTTAGGAGAATCCAGCATCACGTAAACGTAGAACGTGCCCTTACATCCTTCAACTTATTCTGTACTTGCTCCGAGTTCTCAGCCGGACATTCACTGATTTTCAGATTTTCCAAGGATGTTAGTTCTTCTAGGCCTTCAATTTGATGGATCATTTTGCATCGTCTGATCTCTAAAACTTTCAGCGACTTCAAGTTTGAAAGATCAGGTAAACTATCGAGGCAATCACAGTCAGATAGAATCAAACTACTCAGTGATGTTAACTGGCCAATCCCATTGAGATTTCGTATTTTGCAGTTTGATATTTCTAGCCTCTTCAGGGCTTTAAGCCCTTCAAGCCCTTCAATCTCTTCTATCACAGAGGGTGGTCGGCGTGCTTTCGGGTCCCCATCACTTAGGCACAGCTCCTCCAATTCCTTCAAACCTTTAAGAATGGGTAGCGCTTTCATCCTTTTAGAACTCACACGCAGACAAATTAGAGAAGGGGGAAGCTTTGGCAACTCTTCAATTTCATTGCACCGAATTAAATCCAGGGTGTGAAGACCTGGGATGGTGGAGATTTCAGGGGGTAGGCTAGATATACCGGAATGCCCCAGCGTCAATGATCTCAGACGATGTAGTCCCTCAATATCACCGGGAATGGCCCCCTTCAAACTCCGACACCAGGAAGCATAGAGTTCTTCGAGCTTGTTTAGATTCCCAATCTCCCTAGGAAATGCTCGAATGAAGGAAGAATCCATTCTCAGCACTTTCAAGCTTTTCAGATTTCTTATTGAATTGGGGAGTTCAGAGATACTAGTCGCCGATATATCCAACTCCTCCAATGACCCCATTTCACCGATAGAATATGGAAGTTTCTCCAAATAACGGCAATCCCTCAATGACAAGCGTCTTAGCTTAAGCAGCTCCCCCAGTGAGCTCGGGAGCTCAGAAACTTTGGCACCATCTAATGAGAGTTCGGTGAGAGCAGTCAGGTAACTAATTGAACTGGGCAGGTGAGTCAATGAGAAGCACTTTAAGCCACTGAGAATTTCGAGTTGCTTCAAATTGCCTATGGAGATGGGGATCTGCCATACAGAAGTCCCGTCAATAAAAAGCTCTTTCAGAGCTGTCAGACAACCTAGTTCCACTGGCAACCCGTTTAATTGAGAGCAGAACTTCAAATTCAGGGAAACTAAACGTTTCAAATGGCCAATTGAAGGATCTAGCTTCACCAAACGAGAACATTGTTCAAGAATCAGGATTTCCAAATATTTGTAACCAGAAAAGTTGGGAGTGATCAGTAAGTCAGAACATCCGGTAAGATTCAAGACTTTCAATTTCTCCATCTGTAAAGTCAAAACAGAGAACCCACACAAGGTCAATTCGCAGATATATAATTCAAGAAAGCAAATACAAAACAACCAAATGAATACCAAACCACCTTGATTTCACTCCAACCTCCCCAGTCTTCCCTTACTTTGCTCCAAGACAGATCAAGAATAACCAACTCTCTCAATACAAAATTTTCTGCACTAAAATTGGGAGGACACCTTTGCCAACTGAGCCACTTTACACTTGGAAATGCACCTGTAAAATCTCCGAAAACTTTTGCATTATCCAACTTGAGAAAAGTTTTGTCTGGCATGCTCTCAAAATCTCCAGCGGTGAATTTGCATGAATCATGATCATCTAGGTCAATGCAGGGAGCTTCAACGTTTTCCATTCCCTACATTTGACATAAGTAACAAAATCATCAGAAGCTGTAAACAAAAATACCCATCAGAATAAGGAAGCTTTCGTTGCCCTATATGCTAAAGAGCACATGTACAATATGATTCATTCAGAAAATATGACCAAAAAAAAATCGTGGCCCATATGTCAAGGTGTTTATTTTGCCAAAAACAAACTGAACCAAAAGGTTTTACCTTCTCCCTGCTCGTTGCTTTAGGAACCATATCTGGTATGTAAAATTTTCTCCGAATTGGATCTCCAGAGCCCTTTTGATTTAAAATTCTTTGGCCAACAAATCTTAGCAATCTGTGCATCAGCAATTCATTGTTTTCTCCAATTTTTGCCAATGGCATCAGAATGCAACCAGAAGATGGAGATAAACAATTGGGCCACATATATGAAGCAATTTGGGCATCCACACCAGAGATAAAACCTGCTATGTCAAGAAATATATGTTTTTGCTTTGGATCTAATGCTTCATAACATATATCCAGCATCTCTTCAAGGCAAACTGTAGTCTTTTGAGAACTCATCATGCGTGCTTTCATTGACTTCTCCATCTTTTCCCACTCTTGTATTGATTTACCCCGCAAAAATGAACCAGCGACTTCAACTGCTAATGGTAGTTTCTCTGCAGCATTGACAATGCGGTTTGAGAATCCATCATAATCAGGTATGGAAAATTGCATCCCGAATGCATGCTTGCAGAAAAGTTCAAAAGCTTGACCATCATCCAACTCACTAACCATGTAGTTACGAGCCTTCTCGAGATCATACCCTTTGAGAATTTCATTATTTTTGGAAGTCACAATTATTCGACTACCTGGACCAAACCAATGAAGCTGGTCTCCTACAATAGCATGAAGATGGGATTGCTCTTCCACGTCATCAACAACTATTAGAACTTTCATTTCGCGAAATACATCCAGGAAATCTGCTATTCTTTCGTCAAAAGAAGGATCTTCACGATCGTGTTCAAGGATATCACGTATCAACTTATTTTGCAAAAACTGAATACCACTAGCATTTTGTGTGGTTTCTTCGACCTCTGCGAGAAAGCTACAACTGTCGAAACAAGAAGAGATGCGTTTGTATACAGCCTTGGCGAGAGTCGTCTTGCCAATTCCATCAGTTCCATAGATTCCAATAATGCGCACCTCATCATTGACTTCCATCTCCAGTAAGTCGGTGATTTGTTTTGCACGATCATCAATTCCAACTACATTCTGAACAGCTGCAATTGCATAATTCCTATCTGAGGTTTCCATGTCTACTAGTTGCTGTCCAGCTTCATCTTTTATTTTCTCCATGCTCTGCAATAAAAAGAGAATTTCTTCACCAAAGTACTATGGAGAAAAGAACAAACATCACCCGATCAGTCTCTCTTGTAACATTACTTCAGTACATAGATACAAGATATTCATTTGTCATCGAACTTTTTTAGTCGATGCAAAAAACTGCAGACACTATTTTAGCATACTCTGTTCCATAATTCAGTATCTTGCCAATTCAATCAGTTCCATATATTCCAATAATGCGCACCTCATCATCGACTTCCATTTCCGGTAAGTTGGTGATTTCCTCTACGCTATCATCAATTCCAGCCACATTTTGAACAGCAGCAATTGCATAATTCCTATCTGAGGTTTCCATGTCTGCTGCTCGCTCTCCAGCTTCAACTTCCATTTTCTTCATCCTCTGCAAGAAAAACAGATTATCGTAGATGGAGAAAAGAACAAACAGCACCTGATCAGTCTCTCTCTTATAACATTACTTTAGTTCCACACATAGATACAAAATATTCATTTGTCATCAAATTTTTCTAGTTGATGCAAAAATATGCAGACACTTATTCTGGCAATCTCTGATACGTAATTCAATATCTACTCTCTCGCAATATATATAAGGAAACTTAGCAAGTATTTTAATCTAATTAGGTGACAACAGTATCTTGGAAGTTGGATCTGCTTATTTACTGACCAGATATTTCAACTATCAAGAAAACTTGATACGGGCATCACAGCAATGGTCACTCTAATTAAATTAGTAGTGTTCATATCTCTGAAGTGCAAATAAGTTCCAAACAACAAATGAACATTATGAGAATAGGAATAACATCTTAAAATCAGATGGAAGACTATCTTTAGACTCCGACTATTCAATGATTGATATTAAGTTCATGTTATCTTCAAATACATGTTTCTTTTGTTCCTTCTGCATCATCTTTCCTTTTCTTGTGTTGCTATTCCAAGTTGAATGATCTACTTTCAATTTTAGGTGATGGTGATCTTGACTAATTGAAAGCAATGCTTAAATATTCTCACTGAGTTCCAAATACAAGCATGTTCTGATACCACGTTTACGGGTACTGAGCTTTTCTTCATTGGTTCCTTCGTCACTCGGTTACTTTTACATGCACTTCTGTCCTTAAATAGAATGTCAGGCCCATTTGGTTCAACTTTGGAAAGGGGCCTTTGGGGAATGCAAATACCTTTAGGTTAAAACCTCTTGGGGAAATGCAAATGGTGTTTGGTAAAAAATTCTTTGTGAAGCTATTTTGGCTAATTTTTATTTGCAAAGGGCTTTGGGACCCTTTTTTATTAAAAAAAAAAATTACCCTTCGCCGGAGCCGGGGAAGGGCTACGGCCACCGGCAAGCCAGATCTAGTGCCAGCGGCCATCGCTCGAGGTTGGGCAACCGCCGGTGAGCCAAATCTAGCACTGGCGAATGTCGCCCAACCTCGGGCAAAAGTCACCTGGGGTCGCGCGACCTAGGCAACAACGGCCTGGGTCAAGCGACCCCAGGCGACGGCCGCCTAGGTTGCGGCCTAGGCCGACATCGCCTGAGGTCGCGTGACCCAGGCGACGGCCGCCTGGGGTCACGCGACCCATGCGACGGCCGCCTGGGGTCACGCGACCCAGGCCGACGGTGCCTGAGCAGTCGCGAGACCTCAGGTGGCCTAGGTCGCACAACCTCAAGCGGCCGTCGCCTGGCTCGGGCAACCTCGCCAGCCCTTTGCTGTCCAGATCCGGTGTCGTCGGCAACCCTCGCCGGCCACGCTTTCATGAAGAAGATGAACAGTAATAAGAAGACAAAATCGGAATATTAAAATTTTGAATAAGGGTAGTTTGGGAAGGGAAAAAAAAATTTCAGCATTTGTGGAATGCCCAAAGCTGGCAGCTTTGGGTTTACGGCATTCCAAATGCTAGCATTTGGCCAATGTTAGGCCGAAAGTTGAACCAAACGGGGCCGTCAACTATCAATTAAGCATATTGTCTATTCGCTACAGATTTTTGCAAATTTCTTGTTCAATTCGTGTGTTGCCAGTTTACATTGGCACTTACATATTTTTCATGAGACCAGCACCAATTGACAAAGATCAACAATCGAGAAAGAATTGAAAATGATTGGCATGTGGGCGAGTGATTGGCAAGGGATTAAAGACGACTAGCGGAATGAGGTAAAACATGCTGCTAGTGCTAGGTTGAATAAAGTTGGAATCTTTTTGGGGAAAGATAAAATTTTGCTCCTTGTTTTTTTCGTGATTCTCATCTTGGTCCCATTTCTTTCACTCATTTTAGCCCCTAATCGATTTTATTTTTTCAAATTCATCCCCTCGATGACTTTCTGATTTAAAACCTGCTGGAAACGAACAAACACCCTAGTCTACATGGCACCTGCATGTCAGCAAATCGTTTGTTTATCAAGCACATTTACATGAGGAAGTCATTAGAGGACGAAATCGAAGGGAAAAAAGAAATACTTGTTGAGAGATTAAAGATGAAGAAAGTACGGTACATGGACCAAAATAAAGAGTCGCAAATAATATGAGGACCAAAACGTATTTCTCTGTTTTCCTGACTTAATATACGAATTTTGTAGACCGGTTGTATTATACGCGGCATTAGTTTTGACTTTTTTTTTTCATTAATTCAAACTCACAGTACTCGAACCAAAATGGAAACAACAAAATCATCTGTTTCTCTTTCTAACTGTCGGTATTTAACCTTCGTAAAGATTTGAGATGCTCGATTAAATGAAATTTTAATTCCGACTGTCAAAATGAGTAATGTAAAACCCTAAAGCTAAAAGCAAAATCCACTCCAAACATTCCCCAAGTAAAGGCAAGAGGCTGTCGAAAAAATGTGAAACGAAAACGCACCTCCTCCAAGTAAAGCAAAAAATATAAAATATAAAAGTAAGAGTCAAGCTACTCTAATTCCATGGCCAGTTCCGTTTCTTTTTCTATATTTTACGTTATTATATTAATTCTTCATCTTTTTTCACTTTAATTACATTAATCTATTCTTTTTGGATAGTTTTGACGTACCTCATGTACTACTATCTTTTAATGGTAATTATTTATTTCAATTATGGTACTAATACAAATTCAATTGTTTTGCATTATGGAACTAAAAAACAGTTCTATTTTCTACTATTCGAACGAAAAATCCATAACCATGGGATACTTTGTTTCAAATCACTTGATGAAAATCTGTATGTCGTCGTATTTTTTCTTAATCTAAAGTAATATGCTTCCAAATTACTAGTATCTCTTTTTGTCATAAGTTGCATTTTTTAGTGAAATAATACTTTCGCGCGTATAAAGTTACATCATGATATAATTAATGACTATTTGTTCAAGCAATATGTGCATTTAATTTATTTTGAAATAGTCATGTATTATGAACAGACGTGAATGTGTATCCCGTGGCGGCAATCTGCTATAGTACTAAAATCGTAAAATCAACTAGTCAAGCCCATTTGGTGGCCAAAAATAAGAACCTAGTCCGGCCTACTACATATGCATGCACCGGCAAAACAGCAAATAAATGTGTGACACAATTATTGTTTAACGGCTATGAATGCTGAAAAACTAATGGATGCAACATAAATCAAAGTTTTTTTGGGTGGGGTGAAGGGGGGTAATCTATAACTTTTACTGTGCAATTATGCCAAAGTTTAAGAGGGCAATTATTGCTAAAAATTATGACATCAAAATAAACACATATCGTATAAAATTAGGTCCAACGCTCAATTATATAACAACGAAAAAAATTTAAAAATTATAATGACAAAACTTTTATTTGTGCTATTAAATTTATACAAAACAATATTTCAAATTAAAAAGAACATGTCGAAGGAACACAAATATAATTGAAATTATTTAAAGATCACCTCTGATAAATTTTCGTCATTGGATTAAAAGATATATTTTAGTCCATGTAAATTTCAGACCAATATTTAACTTTTTACAATTTGTGCAGTTTTACCGAATTATAGCATCAAATTGAAAGTATAACAAATCAATTTTCCAACCCGTGCATTCACGTACATCTACTTTATATTTATGAAGAAGATATCGCACCTTGTTTGATGTATCCAGAGGAATCTCCTCTCTGTAAATACGCTTCAAAGACGTCGCACCTTGTTTGATGAAGTCCCCACTCCCCCATCTTTTGACTGAACGTGCCATTACATGCTCCAACGCATTCTGTGCTTGCACCGAGTTCTCAGCCGGACATTCACTGATATTCAGCTTTTCCAAGGATGTTAGTTCTTCTAGGCCTTCAATATGATAAATCATTTTGCATTGTCTGATCTCTAAAACTGTCAGCAACTTCAAGTTTGAAAGATCAGGTAAACTATCGAGGTAATCACAGTCGGATAGAATCAAACTTCTCAGTGAGGTCAACCAGCCAATCCCATTGAGATTCTGTATTTTGCAGTTTGATATATCTAGCCTCTTCAGGGCTTTAAGCCTTTCAAGCCCTTCAATCTTTTCTATCGCAGAATGGTAGAGCTTGACCACTGACAACGTCTTGGGAAGCTCAGATACTTCTTTAAGGCTCAAACCAGGAAGAATAGGCCGCTGAGGAATACCTGTTGGTTCAAACTTCAGCTTGATAACTTGCGAAAGAGACAATTCTAGTTTCCTCAGTTTAGGAAACCATATTGAGAAGGATGGTTTGTCAATCATTTGTTTTACATTGGATTCTGGCATCGGCTGTTTTGAGGGAGGTCGGTCCCCATCACTTAGGCACAGCTCCTCCAATTCCTTCAAATCTTCAAGAAGGGGTATCACTTTCATCCTTTTAGAACTCACACGCAGACAAATTAGAGAAGGGGGAAGCTCCGGCAAGTCTTCAATTTCATTGCACTGAATTAAATCCAGGGTGTGAAGACCAGAGACGGTGAAGATTTCGGGGGGTAGGCTAGATATACTGGAATGCCCCAGCGTCAATGATCTCAGACGATGTAGTCCCTTGATATCACCAGGAATGGCCCCCTTCAAACTCCGACACCAGGAAGCATATAGTTCTTCGAGCTTGGTTAGATTCCCAATCTCCCCAGGAAATGCTCGAATGAAAGAGGAATCCATTCTCAGCACTCTCAAGCTTTTCAGATTTCTTATTGAATTGGGGAGTTCAGAGATACTAGTCGCCGATATATCCAACTCCTCCAATGACCCCATTTCACCGATAGAATATGGAAGTTTCTCCAAATAACGGCAATCCCTCAATGACAAGCGTCTTAGCTTAAGCAGCTCCCCCAGTGAGCTCGGGAGCTCAGAAACTTTGGCACCATCTAATGAGAGTTCGGTGAGAGCAGTCAGGTTACAAATTGAACTGGGCAGGTCAGTCAATGGGAAGCACTTGAAGCCACTGAGAATTTCGAGTTGCTTCAAATTGCCTATGGAGATGGGGATCTCCCGAACAGAGGTCCCGTCTATAAAAAGCTCTTTCAGAGCTGTCAAACAACCTAGTTCATCTGGCAACGTGAAGAATCGAGAGCAGAACTTCAAATTCAGGGAGACTAAACGTTTCAAATGGCCAATCGAAGGATCTAGCTTCACCAAACGAGAACATCGTTCAAGAATCAGGATTTCCAAATCTTTGTAACCAGAGAAGTTGGGAGTGATCGGTAAGTCAGAACACCCGGTAAGATTCAAGACTTTCAATTTCTCCATCTGTAAAGCCAAAACAGAAACCCACACATGGTCAATTCGCAGATATATAATTCGAGAAAGCAGACATAAAACAACCAAATACCAAACCACCTTGATTTCAGTCCAACCTCCCCAGTCTTCCGTGACTTTGCTCCAAGACAGATCAAGAATGACCAACTCTCTCAACACAAAATTAAATGCATCAAATTTCAGAGGGCACCTTTGCCAACAGAGCCACCTTAAACTTGCAAATGCACCAGCAAAATTTCCGGAAACTTTTGCATTATCCAACTTGAGAAACCTTATGTCTGGCATGCTCTGAAAATCTCCAGCTGTGAAGTCAAAGGAGAGAGCTTCAACGTTTTCCATTCCCTACATTTGACAAAGAAACATAATCATCAGAAGCTGTAAACGCAAATACCTATCAGAAAAAAGGATACTTTCCTTGCCCTACATGCTAAAGAGTACATACATGATATGATTCCTTGAGAAAATATGGAAAAAAAGAAATTGTAGCCCATATGTCAAGATGTTTGTTTTGCCGATAACAAACTGAACCAAAAGGTTTTACCTTCTCCATATCCTGTATGTAAAATTTTCTCCCAATTGGATCTCCAGATCCCTCTTGATTTACAATTCTTTTGCCAAGGCATCTTAGCAATCTGTGCATCTGCAAATCATTGTTTTCTCCAATTTTTGCCAGGGGCATTAGAATGCAATCAGAAGATGGATAACAATTGGGCCACATATATGAAGCAATTCGGGCATCCACACCAGGGATAAAACATGCTATGTCCAGAAATATATCTTTTTGCTGTTGATCTAATTCTTTGTAACATATATCCAGTATCTCTTCAAGGCCTACCGAAGTCTTTTGAGAACTCATCATACGTGCTTTCATTGACTTCTCCATCTTTTCCCATTCTTGTATTGATTTACCCCACAAAAATGAACCAACGACTTCAACTGCTAATGGTAGTTTCTCTGTAGCATTGACAATGCGATTTGAGAATCCAACATAATCGAGTATGGAAGATTGCATCCTGAATGCATGCTTGCAGAAAAGTTCAAAAGCTTGACCATCATCCAACTCACTAACCATGTAGTTACGAGCCTTCTCGAGATCATACCCTTTGAGAATTCCACTAGTTTTGGAAGTCACAATTATTCGACTACCTAGACCAAACCAATGAAGCCGGTCTCCTACAATAGCATGAAGATGGGATTGCTCTTCCACGTCATCGACGACTATTAGAACTTTCATTTTGTGAAATACATCCAGGAAATCTTCTATTCTTTCATCAAAAGAAGGATCTTCACGATCTTGTTCAAGGATATCACGTATCAACTTATTTTGCAAAAACTGAATACCTCTAGGATTTTGTGTGGTTTCTTCGACCTCTGCGAGAAAGCTACAACTGTCGAAACAAGAAGAGATGCGTTTGTATACAGCCTTGGCAAGAGTCGTCTTGCCAATTCCATCAATTCCATAGATTCCAATAATGCGCACCTCGTCATTGACTTCCATCTCCAGTAAGTTGGTGATTTGTTTTGCACGATCATCAATTCCGACTACATTCTGAACAGCTGCAATTGCATAATTCCTATCTGAGGTTTCCATGTCTACTGGCTGCTGTCCAGCTTCATCTTTTATTTTCTCCATGCTCTGCAATAAAAAGAGAATTTCTTCACCAAAGTATTATCATAGACGGAGAAAAGAACAAACATCACCTGATCTGTCTCTCTATTATCACATTGCTTCAGTTCCACACATAGATACAGGAAATTCATTTGTCATCAAATTTTTCTTGCCTGTGCAAAAAAAAGTGCAAACACTTATTCTAGCATACTCTGATACCTAATTTGCCATTTAATCTAGTCCTAATGAAACTATTTTCATTGTCAATCAAATGAAGGATGTACCATCAAAATAAACGGGTGCTGGAGCAGCTTCTCCGCCGTCCACCTCCTCGCCGGGTCCCTCTGCAAGCAGCACGTCACGAAATGCCTGAGCTCCGGCGACGCGGAGGGCGGCACCTGCGGCGGCTTCGCCATGCATATGGCGCAGAAGAGGCTGGACCAGTCGCCGGCCACCCCGAACGGGAACCTGCCCAGGTAGACCTCCAGCACGCTGACCCCGAGGCTCCATATGTCCCCCGCGTACCCGTCGTAGGAGCCCCTGTTGATAGCGGTGCCGATCCTCTCGGGGCTCATGTACGCGATCGTGGCCACCGCGGAATTCACGTCCATGGTCTACGACAGCACTCGGCTCACCCCGAAATCGGCGATCTTGACCTGGTTCCTCGAGTTGATCAGCAAATTGGAGGGCTTTATGTCTCGATGCACGATCTTGCGGGCGTGCAGGTAATGGAGGCCCTTGAGGATTTGGCGGGTGACGCCGGAGAGGCGGTGCTCGTCGCCTATGTGGGCGCCGTGGAGGGAGCCGCCGTCCATGTACTCGAGGAGCAGGTGTATCTCGCCGGCGGTGGTGCCGTGGCGGTCGGACATGTCGTGGCAACGGACGACGTTGGGGTCGTCGACGTCGCGGAGGATCATGACCTCGCGGTGGATCTGGCGGACGACGGACTCCTCGTAGTTGTCGCCGTGGATGACCTTGAGGGCGTAGAGGCGGCCGGTGGGGCGGTGGACCACCTTGTAGACGGTGCCGCCGTTGCCGCTGCCGATCCGGCTAAGGCGTTTGAGGTCAGAGAAGTCGAGCTGGCGGGGGCAGGCGGCGGAGGTGGAGGTGGAGGGGGCGGAAGGAGGAGGGAGGGGGAGGGGGACGGCGAGGTTGGTGTTGCGCTGGGGGAGGGGGAGGGTGAGGTCGGGCCGCCGGCGAGACCAGTGGCTGCCCGGCGGGGGTTGGACCGCCACCATCCTTCCCTTCCTTCCTTCCTTCCTCCCGCGTGGCTCGCTCTGGTTTAAGCTAAACAAAAACAGGAAACGAAGTCAAAACGATGACAAATGTGTATATATACGGTGCCTCCACCTCCACTACCCAATGTGTAAGAGAAGCAGGAGTCTTGTCAAAAGGTCAAAGCACGAGATACTTCCCATTTTCCCATTTTTATCCAACTCTTTTTCAAAGGGCTCGAACGGGGCAGAAAGGGAGGGAGGGCGGGCTCAAATCATCGAGTGGAGATGGAGATGGAGATGGAGATGGAGATGGAGGCGGATGGGTTTGATCTGATCTCGCCAAGGATTCGTGTGTATTATATAGTACAGTCGAGAAGTAGAAGAAGAAGAGGAGGAGGAGGAGGAGCGACGCGGTTCAACGGGGGAGGGGGCCCGGCGTGATTGAACCGGTGAGAGTCTTTGCGGATTTCGTCTGCGTTTGCGTCCGTAAAAGCTAAGGGCCTCCTCCTCGTTTCGATCCCACATCTGCTCCTCCTTCATTCGCTATTCCCACATACATGTACCATCTCTTAACTTTGGGGTTCGACGCGTCTAAACTTCTTTAAAACCTCGACGTTAGGTGGGTTCTGCTATTGGAGGGATCGATTTTTGGGCGACCCGATACCGGGTACCTCTGAAAATACCAGAAGAGCGTGGATGGTGGTCTAGTTTCGAATGCATTTGATTCAGCATTTTCAATGAACTTTGGGACTCAGAGTCCCTCGGGCAAATGCAAATTGGGTTTGGTAAATTTTTTTGGAGTACTATAGGAAAATGCAATTATATTTCCAAAGGGCTTTAAAGGCTTTTAGCCCAAGTCAAGTTCGGAAGTGTTTTCAAATGCTGCATATTCTGAAATGCAAATAAAATAAAAATTCTTCCAACTTTGCTCTCGCTCAACTTTCATAATTCTGAGAATGTTCTCAAAAATCCTAACTTGCCAATGAAGGTCTCAGCCATCGGCGAGCAGCCGATGAGCCACCACCACCCTAGGCAGCCTAAGGTCGCGTGATTTCACTCGAGACTTGGGTTGCGCGACCCTGACGACCGTTGCTAGGGGTCGCACAACCCCAATGACATCACCTGGGGTATGGCAATCTCAGGCGAGGTTAGCTGGCAGCTAGATTTGGCTATTGACCATCAACCGCAGGCAAATTGTTTGAGATATTTTTAAAAATAAAAAAACAAAGTCCTTTATAAAATGTATTATTCATCAAACAACATTTAAGTACTTTCAACGTGTTTTTAAAATATGTTTTACCAAATACCACTTATATTTTGAAAAATTCTTTTAGCTCAAAAACTTTTGCATTTATCCAAAAACTGAAGCAAAACACAACCTTCAAAATTCTTTTAGCTCAAAAACTTTTGCATTTATCCCTTCATTTGTGTAAGGCCAGATTTTGGGGAAAGCTCACAATGATTGGAGGAGCAGGAGGAGCAAGACGCTGTCAAATTCAGGAAAGGAGGAGGGTCAATGTCAATCGACGGGGCGAGCGATGGAGGGAGAGACGGGGTCAAATTCAAAAAGGGTCGGGGTGTTTAGTTATATGTCTGTTTGACTTAATTTTTAAGCATATATAGTTTGTGATAAGAAAAGAGATCTTATAATTTTAATCTAATATCTTTTGTTGGAGTTGAGTGTCTACATCAAAGTGGGATTGATGCCGAGAAAACTTTTAAGTTGAATTTTCTAACAAAGTATCGAAGTCAGTCATCCCTTTCATCAATGAAAATTAAGGATGTTGAAGTATTGTCTCGTATCGCTTAACAATACGCCATATATAAGTTTAATGGGCTAGACTTTCTTACACGGCCAATTATACATAGGACAATTCAATATGCTTCATAGCACGAGAATTTAGCCCACACTTAGAAACTCGAAAGGGTACTCGATTTGATTTCATTCCATTTCAACGGAGAAGAAGAAGTCAAAAAAGTGAAAATGGGGCTTTCGTAGGCGTCAAATATTCTCGATTTAATTAACACTTGATTTTCTACAATAAAAAAGTAATGAAGTTTTTTTCAAAGTTACGGTGTTTACAAATTGAGCTCCACATGCTTATAGATGGAACATTTGTCTTTGGAATTGTAAAAATGTACGTTTGACAACCATTCTGTTCCTGAAAATTGATTCTGCTCAGAAATGATTCTTTTTTATTCTGTGCTCGAAAACAATTTCTAAGTATTTGAAGGCGTTTGTAACTGCCCAAAATTTATATTCTTAGAATAGAAAAAGAACGGAAATGCATTTGGTAAATGCACAAAAAAAAATTTTATTAATAATATTTTGAATTTTTTAATATTTCTTTCTTTTTTTTTCTTCCCCCTCCCCTTCTTTGGCCATGGCCAGGTCGCCGGAGCCCGCAACCGTTCACAGGATAGGGCCGGCGAGGACGTCGCGGCCCTCGCCAGCTCCGGCGAGGGCTGGACCCTCGCAACCTGGGCGAGGGCAGCGGCGAGGGCGACCCTTGCCCAGGCCGCGAGCCGCCCTCACCGAATCTGGCAAGGGCGGCGACGAGGGTCGCCCATGCCAGATCCAGGAGGGCGGCCCTCGCCGACCACAGGCCAGGAAGGAGAAGAAGAAGAAAAAAAAAATTTCTTTTTCATTTATGATTCTTGTTCCTAGAATCAAAAAGTAACTTTTTTTTGCTTCTTGATTTTATTCCAAAACTGGTTCCGGGAACAAATTTTTGCAAATTTGTGCCCGGGAACAAAAAATTTACCAAACGGATTTTTGTTCCAAAACTGATTTTGAGAACAAAAGAATAGAAATTGTCACTATTTGGCAACTTGCCAAACGCACCCTAAAAGTCTTCGAGCAACGATTTTTTATTGATTAAATTAGTTCCTTCACGTGCAACATGAGTTAGGAACTAGTTGTTATTTCTTGGGATAATGACACGAATAGTACTCGAACTTTGGCCGAATGTGCAATATGATCCATAAACTTTTAATTTATTCAATGTAGTCCATGAATTTTAACTTAATATTCAATGTGATCCATGAACTTTTAATTTGTTCAATGCCTAAACTTTTGATATATGTTCAATATAATCCCTGAATTTGAATTAATTGAAGGACTACATTAAACATTTTTCACATAGTTCATAAACTAAATTAAATATGTACCAAAAGTTCAGGAACCACGTTAAATAAATTAAAAGTTGAGGGATCACTGCATATTGGGTTAAAGTTCATGGACTATATTGAACAAATTAAAAATTTTAGGATCACGTTACAATACATTAAACAAAAGTTCAAAGACTGTTTTGTGTCAATTTTTCCCTTATTTCTTCATCATTACTTTTCTACTGCAACATTGCTTCAGAGTTCGGACTCTGCATTTCGGAAGAATTACTACTTACTCCCCAGCGATTTTTGTGGATTTCCTAACTCGCCATCCAAGCGTGTTGTTTAATGTATTGTTATTTTAAATCGAGTATAATTTGAATTATAGGTTATTGCATTAACTGTATAAGTTACACCGTACAAAACATTTTACTTAATAAAAATACTGAGCAAATTGAATAATGAAAAGATAATATAAGATATGTGTCGTATAATAAATACATATTTGCAGTTTATGTAGCCTTTCTTGCTCATGTCAAATTCGCTTAACATAAACTCACAATGAATTTTTTTTGTCAAACACCCACAATGAATTGAATAGCTGAAAAATCAAAAAACGTAATTTAGAAAATAGCATGTACGTGTGCGCATGCGCGTGTATATATCTTTTTGCTATTAAATCTCTCTTGATCTATATAACGAATATTTCCTACAGGAATATCTATTTAAGCAAGACAAAATTATAATAGATTAGTTCACAGATCAGCAGAGATTAAAGATTTGAGAAACTCTTGAATTTTAACTGATTTGATCCAACTAATTTTACAAAGTGTATAAAGGAATTTCATCAAATCAAGACTTCAATTAACAAAAGCTAAAGATATATGTTGTTTAGTCGACAAACAATCCATAATTTAATAGCTTAATTTGTCCACGCAATTTCATTCAATGTAATAGAGAAACATTATACTGAATAAAGAAATTCACTTAATTTAAAAAAAATTACAAAAATTAAAAAACCATAGACTATATAAAATATAACAAATTGTGTTTTTGTCACTTGAGGGTTACAATAAAAGTAAATAATCAATGAATAAAAGCTGTATATTCACTTTAAGGTTACAATATGGGGAACTTTACAAAAAAGAATTAGTATTTGTGCACATACATAAGTCCAACACATGTATAGAAATAACATAAATTACCACATTATCAAAATCATAAGTGACAACAGTTATATGCTGTAATAATGGCCCAACCCAAGCCCAAGCTATTCGGCCTCAGCCCGTGTAACCCACTCTCTCTCTATTCTTGTTCAATAGCTTCAAACGCAATTGAAGCGCAGAAGAAGAAGAAGACCACCGGCGGACAAAACGAGGAAAGAAAGGAGACGTTCGTCCTTGAAGAAAGGGGCAAAGAGAGGAGAGTGAAATTTTCACGCTTACCCGTTTCGGACGACAAATCGAATAAAATTCTGTTTTACAAGGCCCGGCAAGTATTCAAGTCTGTTATTTATCTAATAATAAACTTGAGTACTTTTCGAGATTAAGTCGTAAATTCAAAGTTATGTGAATTCTGAGCTACGAAGTTTGATTTTAAAGTTACTAAGATGTAGATTTATATGGAAAAGATAATTTAAGGTAATGTGGAGCCGTAATGTTGGACGAAAATCGATTTTGAAGTATGGTTTGATTGGAACGAATTTCTGAAGTTTAGAATGCGGGTTACCATAACGATCAATACGCGTAATGGACAAAGATGAACGTTCTCTATAAACAAGTTTCTTTGTTAGTGTGTAAGAGTGGATTGGTCGATGATCAAGCGTAGCTAGTCAAGTTGTTCGTTAGAGTAGTGTATTACTTGGATTTAGATATTGTTTTTTGATTAATCGATAGAAATACGAGTGCGTCGATTCGAGTAAAACTCGTAGATTGATTTTCAGTTTTCCTAGGAGAGTAGTACTATCTCTTATTTGAGTTTATAAACTCATATTTCGAAAACCATATAGATTAGACATATCATGAGTTAAGAATTGGCATATTTGGCTATATAAAACTAGATCAAGCACTTATTACCGTTTTGTCTATTTGAAATGGCAAGCTATGCTTTGACTACAGTTTGAGTTGATTACCTATAAAAAGTCTACAAAACATTTTACAAAAGAATCACAAAAATTTTATGATTTATGAAAGATACTTTGATATATATTGAATCGTGAAAAGTTATATGATTTGGTTAATAAACCTAAGTTTTTGAGATGGTTTCTAGTTTTGGTTGTGGGTTATTAGAGATTGAGGTTGGTGAACTATTATGCTCATCGCTATGATTATAATCCTTTGACGGGGGTAAGTATGCATATTATTATCAGGACGTTCTTTTGGGTCAAACCACGTACTAATATAGGTGAAGACCTAGTCAAGGGGATAAACTTGATCGCCTTTGTCATGGGCGTTAAGTATGACCATAGTTAGATATAGACCTGTCAAAATGGGTCATAAACCTATTTCTTAACACATATATTAGTAAATGGATCATAAATGGGTTAGTTATATTTAGTAAATGGGTCATAAATGGGTAGAAGTCTTATATTGGTATTAAATGGATCGTAAATGGGTCGTAAATGAGTTTACAACTGATTTAAACTCTACGCATCTCTCTCGCCCTCACTCAATATTGCATTCACTCACTCCGCACTCTCATTTCAGCTTGGGTATGAATTTTCCTATATTTAATTAAATATGGAAGTATTTTAGCAATATGGGTCAATCGGGTATGGATTGGATATGAGTCGGGTCGGGTCGGGTATGGGTCAAGAAAATTACATTGCGCATAAATGGGTCATAAATGGGTTAATGGGTCAATTTGGGTCGGACCATTTATGACCCGACCCAAACCCGACCCACCCATTTGACAGGTCTAGTTAGATATTAAGCATTAAATTGGTCGTTTAAATGGACCATCGACGTTTGATTCAATAGAGATTAATAAATGGAATGGACAATTGATGGTTGATTTTATTATTGTTGATTTGCTATTGTTTAATGATCGAATATGAAAAGTTTTGTTGAAAAAATATAATCCATTTTTGATATTTTACGTATATGGTATACTTGATTTAGGATTGATGAGTTATGATATTGTTTTATAAATATGCATAGTGAATATTCGATTTACTTAGAAGAGATGTACAACTCACTATGCTGTGGATGCTCATTCCATTCATCTTACCTACTTTTCAGGTTCTTTGGCTAGCCACAAGTAAAAGGAGACCATTTATGTTGTCAACAAGACATTTTGATAAAGGAATTTTTTGGTATGAGTTGTTTATGTTTGAGATGAGCTTGTGAGTTTAGTTGTTAGACGGAAACGTGTATATCTTTTTGATAAATTATAAAATAAAATAAAAACTTTGATATTGTAGCCAGGTTATTCGTTTATTAAATATACATTGATGTATGTATTTCGATAACAGGTTGATGGTTGTGTTTGAGACTGCGTCCTTCAGGTGAAAGGAAAGATGATGGTTGTGTTTGAGACTGCATCCTTCAAGTAAAAGGAAAGACGACCGTGTCATTGCCCTTGTACTTGTAGAGTTGGGAGTGTGACTATGACATATGCTAACACAGATAAAAATAACAAGTAAAAATATCGATACATATCGACAAAATACATATATTAACAATTGGGAGAATATTTATATAATGTTCACCACAGGACAATTCACTTTATCTCTATACTTACACTTGACACAATTTTACCACATACATTCATTAATTAGTATTGGTTTATTGATTTGTAATCGCGAAACTCCATTTCTTATTAAGTTTCAAAAAAAAAAGATCTAGATTAAATGTCTTTAACATATTTTAAATTAATATATGGGTAATTCAATTAAATCTATTCTTGAAAATTTGAGCAAATAAATTCAAGCTGTATAACTGATAATTACATTCCTTTATCTGTCCCTTAATCCGTCTCAGAAAGGATAAGAAAAGGAAAAGAAAAGCTGCACACCATTCAAATCAATTTCACAGTTTTGAGTTCAACATATCAAGGTTCCATTGTTGGTTGGACCACCATGAGAAGGCTCAGATACATGCTGTGACAGAAGAAGGGCGGTGTCTTTCCACCATGAGACCTCTCTCTCTTTCTCAGATAGCTTGTGCTCCAAACGCTCTACAGATGCTTCCAGCTCTTTGATTCGTTCTTGCTGTCTTGTTTCCAACAGTTCATGCAACCTCCTCTTGAGTTCAATAGGGGGAACTCCGCCCTGAACTTCAGTCACTTCGTCTTCGGGGTTGATTACTTCTCCAAAGCTCGTGCTACGGGCACTTCCTGAAGCTGACTCCTTGGGTGCAATCTGCTAAACCGAGTTTATAGATCATAAGCTCTAACATTCAGATAATCATCAACCAAACTCAAACAAGTCAAGCTACAGTTTATCCTGAAAAGCGGAGACTTCAAGCAGATCCTTGCATGACTTCTGTTTCAACACCCAAATGAAAAAAGAATGTACTCCTTTAAAGGCACAAACATAATGAATGAAACCAGAGAGAACTGGAGACGATTGTTCCCTGTCGATGGCCTTGAACTGAAGGCTCAACTATAACCGCAACATATGCATCAGAGAAAATTTTTTCGGGCTCATGAAAAGGCGTAAGCGAGTAGAGTGCTGAACTCTGTGGATTCTGGAGTGCCTCCTTCATGTCCAGGGACAGAGAAAGACATCATATTTCACAGAAATGAGAAGACAGCAAGAAAGTGGAAAATCAGAGAGCAAACAATGCATAAATTTATATATGTTTCAAAATCCATCGGCAGTTTCTGTACCCACCCTGCTACGGGCACACAGAAGAACATTTTTGCTCACAAAAATTGAGTGTTACCACAAAGAACAACCATAAAATTGACCAACACTCTTTGTAGAAAACACTAAGCGCTGCACATAATAGCCAGGAAGTTACACTTATTTTCCTCCTCTCTTTCCCTTTCCCAATAGCACCAAGAGACACTGAGTGTGTCAATCGACAAGGAGGTTGGAAACAGGACAGGAGTTCAGTTATTTATTTATAATAGGCAGAACCATACCAAACCAAAATGTGACAGAAAAGCTAATGCCTATAACTGGTTCTCTTTACTCTGATAAAGAGCAAACCGTTCTGCATTTGACTAGAGAATAAATACAAGTAAAAGAGAACTTGAGATGAAGAAAGTTCTCCATGCTTTCTGTGCTAAGCACTAAAAGGCTTGAACAAATGAGTAGGTAGCAACGGCGCGGAAATGAAATATCAGTAATGCAAATGAAGTAAAAATCTGACTGCCATGTGCAGTTCAATCTGATCAAATAAAGGGACAAACTGTGAAACATGCAGAATTGTAATAAACTAAAGCTCAGAAACTTTTTTCTGTTTAAAACCGTATGTTGAGACTCTGCTGCAGCATATGTCAAACACTAATGCATGCACAAATGGAATTGACCTAAATGATTGCTCTTATGCCAGCCTTCCACGGAACAAGTGAAGGAAACTGCAATTGAGGGTTGGTTTACATTTCCAAGACATCCAAAACAACTGAAACACTGTCCTTGTTTTGACAGTGAGAATACACAAAATTCTGCAACCAATTCCATGCATAGGCAAGCATCAAGGAAACCTAATGTTCCTCGGAGAGCCCCCTACATCCGGGAATCACACAGAAAATCAGAAGACAGAACCTTACCTTTATCATTTCCTGATATGATTGCTTGGAAGAAGTTTCAGCATCCAACTGAAGCTGCAAGCGCTCTAACTCGGCTTCTAATTCTGCTTCCAGTTCTTCAATCCCCTCCACAGGTTCTTGTTTAGACTCGCATCCACTGGACTGATTCGACTGCATACATCTATGTTGTTCTAGCAAAGGAGATGGCGTTCTATGGGATTGCTCCAAAATGTGGCTGCCACAGCTCAAGACTTCCTTTATATCAGTCAAACAAGATGCAACACTCTCCGTCAACTCAGATGGTTCACGAGAAGAATCTTTCCTCTGTACTTTTTCTTTGACTTTCTGAAGAAAAAGTTCCATTTCTTTCCGCAAATCCTCCATTTTGTTGAGTTCATTCTTACTCGCAGCAATCAGATATAAAAGACTCCCTGCAGCTCCCAGGTTAAACATATTCTCATTCCTAGATTGTCCTGGATAGAGGAGCATGCAAGCAACAATCACTCATTTAGTGACTCCTTCATTTAATAGTGATGAAAGCAGAGAATATTTTCATGGGAGCGTACGGAAGATGTTACTTATCGCTTATTATGTCTCAACTTGGGTGTTTGATGTGAATAGGCATGTTATTCCAATTTCATTAACATGCACATCCCTAGCTAGTATGGTGAATCAAATTGCTGGAAGAGGATATATTCCCACAGGGGTAACCAGCTTTTGTCCATCCGGGCATGGTTGGTACACTTTATAAAAAGTAAACGTAGAAATTAATGTCGGATACACCAGTCCAACTTCAGCACACAGCTTCTAGCCCCGAAACCTCTAAAACTTCACATCCTAGCTTCCCTGTTTGGAATTAGTTGGATAAACAATACACAGCACATATAATCTTAAGATATAACCAGCAAAACAAATTCGGTCGGCTCAATTGTCCACGCCACCAATCCTCATTCTGTTTAAACTTATATCAGTGCAACCAGCTGCATGAAAGGACTGAAGTATGTAACAAGCACAGAACCCTTTCCACGAATAAAGATACATGATCAGAGCCACAAGGCAACCTCTAATAAGAAGCTTCGATTGTACATCATGAGGTTTTGAATCATCACTCAACCAGTGTCACAAAATAGGCTGGGAACCCTGCAATACCGTTTATGACCTCAAGCTGCTCTCGTATTAAAACCATTAATTTCGTTTTTCCTGAACCATCTACATCACAGCTACATGCAAAAACAGGGCTTTGGTTTCCCACCAGTTAAATGTTCATAAAAATATCTTCTTTTCAGATTCGGCCTAAATTCTACAACACATCAAAAGGATTAAGGGGGGAGCCAACCCGGAGAAGTCACAATTTTTCCAAAATGAAACAGGTATAATTTGGCCATAGCGTAGTAATCACCATGCAATGTCATGAAAAACAACTCCAATTCTGATACCATCCCATTTCCCTCAAACCATACATAGCATAAGACACTTGCAAACAATCAAACATCTGACAGATCGTCCACACTCAGGAAATTTAGCATCGAGAACAACGTTTTCACAACGAAAAGCTCAAAACTTGAAACACTAATCGACCATCACCTGACTCATCCTTCCCATCGACCGCGCCCGGCGAACCGTCCTCAACCTTCGTCCTTATCCTCGAAACGCCCAAGCTCCCCGACCCATCACCAAACTCCCTCTCTTCTTTCTCTCGAACCTGCCCCACCACACCCTTCTTCTCCTTGCGCCATCTGAACCACCTCGAAAACGCCCGACCCGGCGACGAACACTCGAACCCACAAGAACCCACTTCGCCTTGCCGCCGCCGGAGACCGCCCATCTCGAACTCGGCGTCCGCCCCACTCTCGCTCTCCTCCTCCTCCTCCTCTTCTTCCTCTTCCTCCTCGACTAGTAGAATATCCGCGATTCGCATCCGGAGACCACAGCATATATCCCCCTCCCCGGAGGCAGGTCCTTCAAGAACTTGCTCCATGTGGGTCATGGAAAATCAGGGGAATGCAAGAAGATGCAGGGCAAGGAAGTTAATGCAGCGCCATTAATGGAAACAGTGACGGAAGAGAAGCTGCGCAGCCATGTCTTTCAAATGGCAAGGGGAAAGAGCGAAAAAGGGAGGGAATGATTTTCTCTGTACGAACTTTCTTTCCATTTTCTTGAAAAAAAAGGTGAGATTTTTAACGCTCCCCCAAAAGAATTGTATTCATTAAAATCCTCGAATCCTGTCTTTCTTTGGGATTTGTTGCTGGCATTCATGGTTGGTTGCCAAAGAAATAAATAAATTAAAAGGCCATGAAATCTGGACAAAATGACAAAAAGGGAAGCTTCGGATGGGAGCATTTATGAATAATAAATGGATAGTTAATAATAAATTTTGGGTGGGGGGAAAATATTTTTGTGCTTTGATGGTTATTATTATTATTCTCGTGATCGTCTGATGGAGACAATGAAGAGAGAATAAAATTTTTAATTTTGAAATTCAAATGCCATCTTTTTAAGTGGTGTTTGTAGTCTTTGATTGAATCCGAAAGATGTCCTTGCTCGCATATATGTTTGAGTATTGAGAGTTTGAAGCTCGCAAGATGGAGTGTGCAGATGTTTTCAAGCATAGTTTAAGAGACTAGATTCAAGATTTTTATGAAAAAGGACATGAATCGAAGCGTTTTGTCTATTCTTTTTGCCTGTTTTTATTCGATGGTAGAGATTAATTTCGTTTAAATCTTACTAGGTCTATGGACCACAAATCTTTTGTAGAGATGATGTTTTCAAGCATCCCTTGGAAAAAAAAAATACGGTTTTATAAGTTGTTAATATGTCCGCTCATGACCGTAAATTATGCCTGACTCGATAAGGTTACTGGTGTGTCTATAGTGTAATAACTTAATTAATAATTCAATGAATGGAATTAAAGATGCACGCTTAGCAATATTCTTGCAATCTATGTAATTGGAAACCAAATGCCTCATGCTTATGTGTGCGCGCATATATAGAAAAAACAAACAAAAGAAAATGCGATTTCACTTATTTAAAGAAATGAATTTTGTGATCTATTTGAAACTTATGTGATTATTATATCATACTATTGAAGTATCATTATCTATTGTTTAAAGATATTCTATTGTTATTCGTTGCATAAAAGTTTAGGCCAAAGTTAGGTTGAAGGTAGGGTCAGATTGGCCTTATAATATGCAGAGAGAAGCAGTTGGAGCTTGAAGAAGATGAACCGTTTAAGGTTGCGTTTGTTTTGCGGAAGATGAATGATTCGGAAAATATTTTTCCGAAAATAATCGTTTGTATCACTTGCAAAAATATTTTTCATTGTCCACGAAAATATTTAGACATGAATTATTGCGATAATGGAAATATTTTTCCATTGACTAATAATTTCGAGCGATACAAACAATCATCTTTAGGAAAATGATTTCCAAATCATTTATTTTCTGCAAAATAAACGGAGCCTAAGAAGAGGATGAACAATAAGTTTTTCTTATTTTTTTTTTCATTTTTTTTTATCTTTTTTATTTTTAGATTTCAAAATTTTCTCTAATGTGTCGCTTGAGCACCACGTTTCTTAAAAAAATAAAAAAAATCATGTCAATATTATCTTTTAGCCAAATTGGATGGAGTTAAAGAAATACTTGATCGCACTAATTAGACAAATTTTAAGACTTGATTGAACTTTTTTTTAAAGTAATATGACTCAATTACTCTTTCGCGATAAGTTTTAAGATTTCTAACGCACTTATCCCTATATCTAGTATTTAAAGGATATTTGGTTATCGGATATAAATTAAAATTTGAGCCAAAGTTTGAAGTTGAGGAGGGGTCAGATATACGCCCAATAATATACAGAGAGAAGTGGTTTCTTCACTTGTTGTGGAAACAAGTGAAGATCATATATAGAGAGAGGCGCGCCATCTGGGACTAGAATTACAATAGAGCACTGTCACACACAGCACATCGATCAATGGATAAGATGAAGTCCATAAGCATACAACTGATGAATTTAACATGACTGATAATTTCTAGCTACTGGCCATACAAGATTACCAAGCATTACTTATAACAAAAAGTAAAGGGACAGAGGAGTGATTAGAAAGTCCATGTGCTATCATCAACTATGCGAGAGAAAAAGTAGAATCTACTTGTATCATCTGGAAGCCAGATCCAGAAGAACAGTATATACTGTAAGGAGTAACTGCAGTACAGCAATACCTGAACTATTTGATCCAGCAAAACTTGAATAGAAATCAAAGCTACTTGACAAAGCAATGTACTTGAACTTAATCTAGTAAATTCTACAAACAAGAACAAAATGATGCTTCATATCTCTAACACTTCTAATGAATTTGTCGTAATCAGCACATCATCCAACTCAGTTGTTTAGCGTACGGGCAACTGTAAGAGCTAAAGCTTCGGTGAAATTGGGGTCTCTGACTAAAGAAGCCGCATATTCTTCGATCTTGGCGCAATCACTGCTTCTATCGCCAAAGCTGAGATTCTTGTTCATATAAGAGGGCTTGGGGTTCTGGGGAAAACTGCTTCCGGAGAGTGTGAGATCGAGAGTGATGGGCGGTTGTATGGAGCTTGGCGGCCTTGTGGGCATTAGCGTAAGATCGTGATTCCCTAGCTGACCTCTTGGTGAAGGATCCGAAAGTAAAGGAAGGTGATCACGGTTGGCGACATTGACAGTCCCGTGGTTGTGTAGTCCTTCGTAGGTCGCAACGAGAAGAGTCCTGTCTTCTACGCTCCTTTGCACCTTTATAAATCCATCAAGAATCGCCCAACATTATGGTCAGCACAAATAATATCCTTGTTCTGGTAGGAATTTAATGTGCAGGAATTACTTTCTTAGGGCTGCATGCGTTTGAGATCAAATTTTCTTTATGACATCCCCATGAAAGTATGAGGGAGTTAAAAGTCTTTTGTTAATCTGAGTCGATCACATGTTAATCTAAGAAATAACAAGTAATTAGGTGTCATCAGGAAAGAGTGTGAATCCTATCTATTTTTGTACCATGGCTAAGAAATGCAGTGTCTTAAGGAGGAGATCTGATTAATTAACAGGTTTGGAACTTTTGATTTCCTAAATCAAACTTGCATCTATGATGAGATACTATCCCACACGCGCCGTTGTATGGCAGAAGAGACAAAGTTATCAAGTGAAACATGATGCATACCTTCTTCTTGACAGGGCACCCCGGAGCCATGGAGCACCGATAATAAGCTCGAGGCGACGGATTATCCTTCGTGACCTTCTGTCCATATTTTCTCCATTGATATCCATCTCTCACTACCTAAGCAATAAGAAAACACAACGAGCCTCCTCACTATTGAATCTTATGCAACGAGCTGACATAGGTTTTTTAAATTGTATAATCAAAGAAATAGCCAAATGGTTTCACTGCAGGAGACTTACCAAGCTCTTGTCCTCCTCGTCGACTTTGACAAAGATTTTAGACGATTTACTGAAAGGAAACTCCTCAATCCTCGCTCTCTTGTTGCAGTCATGATGAGATGGAGGACAATGGCTTTCCGGGAGATGGGTTTCAAGGATTTTGCATTTGCTCCCAATGATTTCAACCATGACTTTGAGAGTTTCATTCTCCTTCCTCAATCGTGCCAATTCATCTTGAAACATTTTCACCTGACCAAACGTATATGAAGACATTTCCTATTTAAGATATGAACTTCAACATGAAATACTGCATTCTACATTTGACGAGATAGTTCAAACAATATGTGATTTCTTTTCATGGTCTCGGACAATTCACTTGATCAGTCTTTGAATTCATATCATTTCTAAGATCAACTGTTGAAATTTGCAAAAGCATAACCATTTGACGAATCAACCCTTTCGACAACATTGGTTACACAGAAGAAGAATTTTTCGGCAAAAGGGTTTGAAGAAGATCAACAAACGTGTCTAATAATTTGTTTAAATCTGATGACCATCCGGACGTGATAGACACGGAGTTGTATCTCTCTCGTCGATAAGATTTCTGCCACCGATATGTGTAAGGAAGATCCACAGAAACAAAGCCATACTAACCGTTTCCTTCTCATGAGGAGCAGGACCATCCATGACTGAAAACATAAGCAGACCTAAGAGTATGAAACACTTCAACTCAGTTGGCAGAAACACTTCCAACTCAGTCGGCAATGAGTACGAGAGAGACTATGATACCTATATATAGTCGGAAGAAAACGATGAAGCTAGAAGAGAATGGATAAGGTTTCGCCATATAATATTCGGATTCAGTTATGGCGAGTCTATGATATTTAATGCCTCTGATGGACTAAGACTCGTCTAAGTGAGCAGTTATCAGACCGCATACAAGAAAGAAAGAAGCAAATCCTAGTAGGCGGCTGCTTTGTCTGGTCTTGCCTTGTTGCAGAGGAAGACGTTGAAAATCAAATCCATGCTTTTGGGTTAGAATAAATCATCCATGGTAGAGTCGAGAATCCAAGGATCAGGACGAACACACGCACAACGAATCACGTAACATCGTTAACGCAATTAGCGTCCCGGTTTCCTCGCTCTTTCCTCGGTCCGCCGTCATGTTTTACGAGAAGAAGTTTCGGTCCACTTTCTTCTGCTTTTGGGTCTGACGTGTTCCAAGGGTTTGCCATCAACATTTGACCGTATCTATTAGTCGCTTGGACTGCTTTAAGTGTAGAGCGTAACTTATTATACTAGGTTGGTAAGTTGGGTGGGTACTTAGATCGCCTAATCCAGAATCATTTTAATTAACCAATTTAGTTATAATCTACAAAAGGATTAGATAAGGGGAAAATTGTCTAAAAAGTCTTAAACCTATTAAACGGCAGTCAATTTAGCCCTAAACCTTTCCATTATGTCAATTTAATCATAAAATTTTTTAGGGATTTGCCAATTTAATCCTAAATCTTTCAATAGTGCCAATTTAGGCCTAAACATTTTGATAATTTTTTAACTCATTTCTAAACATTTTAACGACTTATCAATTTAGTTACCATGACTAGAAAATTAATCTACTGAGTAGTTAGATAGATAAATTGGTTATCGGGCTTAATATGGAGGTTCTCCTTTTAAGTAGTATTTTCTTTTTCTTCTTCTATTATAATGATGCAGAATTTTATTCTTCTGTGCCCAAAGATATGGATCTTTTTTGGTGCCGATAGATTTCGATAGGCGTTGGATGTCAAAATACTGTTAGTAAATGACCGGAGACTTTTGTTCAAGTAACTTGTTAGTAGCTTATGACACTTTTATAAAATAACCACATTTCTTATATAGTTTGTAAAATAGAAATGTTCGTCCTTACCAACTTTTATTTGCAAAACTTACCAATTTAATCAAGATCGGTAAATTACCAATCAGTTTTATCTATCAACTTTTTTTTACTTAATTACCAACATCTAATTTTATTTAATTTACCAACTTTTCTTTAGAGTTGGCAGTGTTTATTTGCCATTAAATTACATGCAAAATTGGGTTACCAACTCTCGTTAAAATTACATACCGAGATTTATTTGATTTTTTTAATCTGCCAACTTTTTTTAATCTTTTCCAAACTTATAACAAGCAACTCAAATGAGAGTTTGTAACCCAAAACTAGTTGGTAATTTAATAGGAGAAATTTGCAAGTCACAAAAATAAAGGTTGATAATCTTATATAAAAGTTCGTAAATTTAAGCCATTGGTAAGAAAGGTTAATAAGTTAGTAAATGATAAAAGAAAGCTTCTTTGACATAAAGAAGAGACATGGTTATTTATAAAATAAAATAAAAAAACTGACTCAAAAAGGAGTTTGTAGCCGCGATATTATGTGGTGAGTTAATAGGAGAAAAATTGTTAATCACTTGCCCTAATTGAGGTTTTACCAACATCTAATTTTATTTAATTTACCAACTTTTCTTTAGAGTTGGCAGTGTTTATTTGCCATTAAATTACATGCAAAATTGGGTTACCAACTCTCGTTAAAATTACATACCGAGATTTATTTGATTTTTTTAATCTGCCAACTTTTTTTAATCTTTTCCAAACTTATTAACAAGCAACTCAAATGAGAGTTTGTAACCCAAAACTAGTTGGTAATTTAATAGGAGAAATTTGCAAGTCACAAAAATAAAGGTTGATAATCTTATATAAAAGTTCGTAAATTTAAGCCATTGGTAAGAAAGGTTAATAAGTTAGTAAATGATAAAAGAAAGCTTCTTTGACATAAAGAAGAGACATGGTTATTTATAAAATAAAATAAAAAAACTGACTCAAAAAGGAGTTTGTAGCCGCGATATTATGTGGTGAGTTAATAGGAGAAAAATTGTTAATCACTTGCCCTAATTGAGGTTGGTAATTTCTCGAAAAAGTTGGTACATTTGAAAAGTTGGTAATTAAGGTAAATAAAAATAATATTCAATAGAAACTAACTAGTTAGTAAAAAAAAAAAAATAGACGTTGATAAGCAACTCAAATAAGAATTGATAACCCAAAATTAATCGGTAACTTAATTGAAGAAAAGCGATAAGTCACCCAAATAAAGATCAATAATTTTATAAAATAGATGGTAAATTTAAGGCACTGGTAATAAAGGTAAATAAAAATTTGTAAAAGAAAATAGAATTTTTTTTTTGTCAGAGATAAAAGGAGTTAGTAATTTTTATCAAATAAATGTCAGGAACTAAAGTATCGAATCTGACTTCATATCAAAATATAATGAATTCTATTATATCTTGAAGCTTGAAGGGCTTTGTGATTTGAAACACTAGAATAATGTGTAAACAAATAATTAGAAGATAGTAGGGAAAATTGCAAGGGATTTTTTTAACATAAGAATAGATGGCTTACATTCTTGGATGTCTTTCTTGCTTGATGATTGGGACTCAACAATAAACTTCTCAATGGAAATCAACAAGGGGCTTAAAGAAAGTAAAAAGCTTACAAACTTGACTAGAAAGCTTATATTTTCAAAGACTAATACTGAACTTAGGAAAATCTAATCTAATTTGAATTAGAAGTTCAAAGCCTAAACAAAGATCTAATCCAAATGATCTCCTTCCAAACTTTATGGACTCCTTCATCGATGTTGGATGATTCTTGTTTGAAGTGTTAAAAAACTTCAGAGACATGTGTCTATGTAGCTGATGTTTAGAAAGAGATCTATGTGATTCTTCATCTATCTTTAATCGACCATTCCGTTGTGCATCTTGATCGTCCTCCCCAAAAATTTCTAATTGCCTCTTGATTTCTGCGCAACTTCAGGATTGACTCGTTACCACTCCCAATCTTCTAGCTAGAATTATCTCTTGGTCAAAAGAGCGGTGATAACCCAAAAAAATCCAAAACTAGATGATAATTTAATCGGAAATTAGGTCGATAAGTAATTCAAATAAAGATCGGTCAAGTCATATAAAAGCTGGTAAATTTAAGGCATTGATAAAAAAAATCCAAATAAAAATTACTGAAAGCAGAAAAGAAAAACTGATAATCTGTGGACTGTATAATAGAGTTAATGGTTTCATAAAAATTTCAGTAAGTTATTAATAAGTTACCAGTTAAATTCTCACGGACTCTTTTTGACCAACGGTTGTTGATATTGACCGATTCTTCTGGAAATCTCCCAGCACAGCACACAGGAAAAAACATGGTTTTTTGGGGGGCAAAGGAAATAGTGGAATTTGTCCAGCTTAGTCATACATTTAGATCGAGAAGGAAAGAAAAAGAGTCCATAGTTTCTGCGCTATGCAACCATGTTCGACACCATCTTTCTTTCTCTTGTCCTTCTGTCTGAATGGATATGTCTTTCCAAGGTTCCTGTGGGGTCCCGCAACAGGACAAAAAATCAACTTCTCGTCACGGGAGTCAAACACGTGAATTCTGAAAAACTCTTGGCGCATGTGCCAGGCGACTAGAAATAGCTCCATTCAAGAGAGGGTCTTTGATGCGATCAAAAAAAAAAAAAAAGAGAGAGGGTCCTTGATGACTAACAGCAATACAATACATCGTGGTCTTCCAGAACGGGCGACTGCTGACTCGGGAAAACGTGGTCCACCAAAAGTTGATTCTGCTCACGAACGAACGATTCGGATGGCAACGAAACGTGAGTCATCTTGGAGAATCCATGTCAAGTTGACTTGCGTTTACTTTGGTTTGGGATCATTATGAGTCTATAGTCACTCGTGTCTGCCATTATCCACAGTCATTTAGAAATGAATTACCAAATTAATTGGATCATACTCCACCTGTTTTCTAAAGTTTCTTTCACGCAGTTGAAACTTAGAGCTAGCTCTTGATGGCAAGTGAATAATTAAGCACGTAGTGGCCCGGCCTGTTTAACGTGGGCCAAGCCAATAAAAAAAACAGTATTCTGAGTAATCACACAACATGGTGACCATGCGAGGGTGGATGTTGGCTTATTATAGCACTCAATAAGGCCTCTCTCACTCGATGTGGGACCTGGAAATGTGACAAACACCTCATTTAAATAACCGATATCCTCATCAATGTTGGTTCGTATTACCTAGTGATTCTCCCCTGATTCAATGGATGGCTCGGTCCATTCCTGCCATCTCTGCCATCCTAGAACCCTACTAAGAGCCCAATCTTTGTCCAAATTGTCTTGCCCCAGCGATCACTCTCTGTCCTTGTCAAATTGGGAATTGGCTTAGTTCGTCCACGAACCACACATCTAGTGGAGTGGAACTGCTCTAATACCATATCTAACCACCTGGCATGTCCCATGTAGGTTAAATCCTCACCATACAAAGTGATAATCATTTTAGGATGGGTGATAGTTTACATATCACTCAACAGGTATATCCCATTTAACATGGGACTTGAGAAGGTCACGTAGCATTATCATTATCCCTCCAAATTAACCGCAAAACTCATTTTCATTGTTGTTTTATTGATGTATAATATTGTAATACCTGTGACTGTAAGGTCAATAAATGTATGATACAACGACACGAGTGAAAGATGGACTTGAAACTGGGATTTCCTTGAGAGATTTCACCCAATTTTCAGAATTATAAGTTGCTATACAAAAAAAAGAACCACTAAATTCTGAGACCGGGGCTTAATTAGCAGCATTTCCTTATGATGTTACCAAATGAAATGACGAAAATACAAGCTATATGTTTGTTTCGGAAAATCACGATTTGAAAAATATATTCTTAGAAATTATCTCTTGCATACTTACAAAAGTAATTATCAAAAATATTTGCATCATTAACGAAAAAATTCAGATATAGATTATCGTAGATAATTAAAATATTTTTTGTATCGACTAATTTCTATAAGCGATACAGCTAATCCTTTTTAAGAAAATATTATCAAATTACTAATTCCGTGAAACAGTTAAGAGATTCGCTCTTGCCGTGGATTTAACTCGTGACTCTGTAGAAAAAACAGACGGCCCATATAACACTGGATCAACTACCTTGGTGGTTCAAATTCAGTCATAAATTAGATTATCTACCAGTTTTGACTATATATCCACCATAAGTTCTAGTAGCAGTCAATATACATACACCCTCCAGTGTGGTCAAGGATAACTCTTTCTTAATCTGGCTCATTTGTACCAAACCACAATGATGTAAACATCAAGAGGGAGTTTGAAGCCAAGATTGACAGGTATGAGAGAGAGAATAGGGGATGAGACAGTTCAAGACTCAAGAGCATAAAATAATATCCCCAAACAGGACCAAAGTATACTCTGGTCAGGTGATGGGTGGGGAGAACTTTCCTAGGCTACAACAAAACAAGAACAGCCCCACCAAGATGGGAGTGCGACAGCATGAGATTACACGAACGTTTCTTATTTGAGTTTTGGTACGTGGTTGGTCTAAAGTTAAATGGCGGCCGTACGTCACGGAGAGGAAGAAAGTCTTTGTTTAAAGTTTGCACGGAGTCAATGTTGGTCGAAAGCAACATTTCAAATGACAATAAGTTGATCAATCGAAGCACGGAATCTCCCCGATTGGGCTAGGAATCGTCAAGAAGAAAATTGGAAATGATGGGCTCTCTCTACCTGATCCTTTTACTGCTTTTAAGAATAGAATTCAGTCGGCCGATTTAGCGGACTGGGCCATATATTAAATGATCTAATTTGATATCATTTCTCAATAGTGAAGAATCGAACCGAATAGATGTTAATTGGAAGTAGTCGACCAAACATGAATTGATTGAATCGAATTGGGATCGGTTCCTTATAAAGACATACAAAATGCTCGATTCTCTTTCTCTCCCTACACTTACGAGTTATCTTTGACATGACAAGAGGGGGTAGCCCAGAAGTAAAAGGGCCGGTTCTTTTTCACTAAAACAAATCCACATTATATTATCATTAGGAGGCTTTCACCCATGTCGAAACTTGAAAGCAATAAACTCTCGAGAAACATTTTTTTTTTCCATTTAACATGCCCTACTATTGGACCCTTGTATAAAACAAAACCACAATGGTGTAGATGACTTGACTTTGTCGACGGCGGGTCTCCCTTTCGTTTGGTCAACTAAATTGGGCTGCTTGCTGTAGCATGCGTGGGCTGAAAGACAAGAATGTGCGATTCGCAGGTGCCTTATGTATTTTTAAACCCCTAACACTACACAGCATACTTATATATAAATGACCAATTGCTGTTGTTTTTTCACACTGCACATTGCATACATAACGTGCTCTATATATATTACATGTAAATGCGCATACATGTTCTTATTTAAGAGTTCCAGACGTACTAAACCTCGTTGTGGTTCATGCACCAAAGCATATACTTATTCCAAACATACATACAATCTAGTCATGGTCGGGGAAAGGTCTCTATAGCTGTTCTGTGCATCGCTTTTGACTATGCTCTGATTCGCAATTCGCAATTGAATTCTCCACTCTTTTGATCTAACAAGCAACCGAATAAACACATCTTGAGACGCTCGACCTAATTCTATCATGCTCCGGCATCACCAACTCTGTGTACGAGACCGGTCAAACATCGCCCCTGATATGGCTTCGGCAAGCGAAGCTGTGAAATTGGGATCTCTCGTCAAGGATGAAATCATTTCCTGGACCAGGAATTGCGGGGGCGTCCCTACTTCGGTTTCTTGCTTAGCTTTCTTTTCCGGGTTAGAAAACCCACACCGGACCAAATCGAGAATGGCGTTGTGATTGGAAGGTTTCACAGATGACGGTGAAATCGGAGGCGAGGCAGTGGCAGGTTTCGCACCTTGAGAAGGGCATCGATGATTGTGCTCGCCTTCATAGGTAGCAACCAAGAGAGATGGATCTTCGACGCTCCTTTGCACCTGAGAACATTAACATGTATGTAAGATAAAGCAATGAACTGGATTCATTTTTTCGGCCATGCCATGCGATATCACTCCCTAATTCATATGATTATGCAATGGATAGTCGAAACTCAGATTATTAAGCAAGAAATTTGTCGAATAGTTTGCGATGGCACCTTGAGTATCTTCAAGATGAGTTTCGGGTCTTTGACCATTTGTGCTTTCAGTCAAAAAAACTTGACCGGGTTTTATGTGCTCGTTCTATAACACCTCTCAATCAAATTACCGCGTTTATTACAGATCATTTATCTCATGACCAGAATTATTAAGAGGTTTCAATGCATTAAAGACCAGGAAATTGAGGAGAAACATGGAATCTCCTAATGGGAGCATAAGTTAAGTTAATAGGCCCTTTTTAGGGTGAAACGTAGGGTAAAAGTCTCTTGTTTTAGCTTTTAGGTAATAACCATACATTTTCATGTGTACAGCTTTTCTGTATGTCTGTGGAGATCGTACTGTCATCACCGTTAACAAGTCAACCATTTAAATTTCCATGTAACTACCTTCTTTTTAACAGGGCAACTTGGAGCGAAAGAGCACTTAAAGTAAGCCCTTGGAGAGGGATTGTCTCTGGTGACTTTCTGACCATACTTCCTCCATTGGTATCCATCCTTCACTACCTGGAAATCCAAAGCCAAAAGAGAAGGTCATACTTAGTGCTTAATTAATTAAAGGTTACTGCATATTTTTCACTTGAGGTTGGATTCTTCGAAACTTACAAGGCTAGTATCGGATGCGTCGACTTGGACATAAGCTACAGAGGTCTTCGATTTCACGCTCTCAGTAGGCCTCTTCCACAATTCCAGGTCATTATAGTCCTCAAACTTTCTCTTCCTTGATTCCATGACTTCGTTCACGGAAATTTCCTTCGCCAAATTGATCATCTGGCTTTGCAAGGCGTTGTAACCGAGCAAAACGACATTTAGTGTTTCTGTCAACTTCTTGTTCTCCGAGCTCATCCTTCTGAACTCTTCCACAGATACACCAACCTATCCATAAATTTGATATAACCCATCATAAGCACTAACTAGAAGAAGCTCATTTCGAAGGTAGACCCAGAAAAAAGTCCAGTTCAAGTGGAAATATTCATCGTGCCGACGACGTAAAAAGCATATATATGCATAAAAAGAAATTACTTCTTGTTGGAGTGTTCCTACTTCTCGCGATTTTTCAGCAACTCCGCCTCTATCTCTTCTCAAATCCTAGATATATGCATCAATGAAAACCATTGTAAACTTAGCAACTCCGACCCCGTAAACAGAAAAAAGGGAAAACACACAGTCTAGTCCTTGCATAATGCTGCACTCACCATGATGCCATTGCTCTGGCAATTCTGGAAAGAATTGATCCTAAGGTCAAGAGAAGTGTCAACCCTTGCTGCGTCCATGGAGGAACTTCGCTAATGAGAATCTGGATTTTAATTGGTCTCTCTGAAGGGGGGAGAAAAGAGATAACAAGGACCGAGAAGTTTGAATGTTAAAATGGCTAAATGAATGGGAAAAGAGCCGTGGAAGGGTGGGTATAAATAGACCTCCAAGTGGCCGTAGAAAATCAAGGACTAAGTTTGTTTTGACAAGGTAAGTTACTGCGAAGCATCACAGGATAAAGAAACCACCTCTGACGTCATGCCTCATTCGTCATGCGAAGTTGTACTCATGAGGACTGCATATTTTATACGACAAGACAGCAAAAGAAAGAAAGAAAAAAATGAAGGGACGAGATCAGAAATTAGAGCCCAGAGCAGCAAAACTTTTTTGTTTATTTTCGTTGACTTCATCGAAGTCGAGCTACTAAGTCTTTGTAACCTTCCTTGCTTCTTCAGCTGGGAACAAGCTAAGCTATCAAACTTCATTAAGAAACGCGAAACGATAAGGATTACAGCTTAAGGTTATCTCAATACTAAAACGCCACCGGTTTATTGTAGTTTTATATAAATTTGAATGAACTTGGACGTTTTTTTAAGTGTTGTGCATGTGTCTACCGCTGGAAAGCAGTTCCTGTATGCTTGTCAGGCGGCAGAGTTTGATTCTAATTCTTGACGAAATGAAATTGACTATAGTTAACTATCATATGGTCATGTCCACGAAATAGCGTTTAAATATGATCGGCTTTTCTTTTTTCTTTGTCTTTTGGTTTGTCTCTTTGGATATGGTGCTTTACATGTTCGCGTCTTCTTCTTCATTTTCTTTTCTTTTCTCCTCTGGTTATTATTTTAAAAAAAAAATCAATACGAGTTGTTGCGTCTATAGATCAATATAAAATAGGATGAATTTTCACATGTTTCGCAAAGACGATCTTTACCATGTTCGGATTGTGCTTAACAATACCTTAGATGTGTGAAGCCCTCCGCTTCAATTGACATACGACCGTGCCGGTATTCTAGAAGTCGATTAAAAATTGATCAATTACATGTCACCGTGCTAATCATACTTACCCTTTAATTCATTTCTTAAGGAACAAGCAATCTATGACTTGGGACTATTAGCTTCAGATTAAACAAAACTAATCCACTTTTCAATTAAACAACTTTCTCAGACTTGTTACATCTCGATATGAAGTGGATTGTATAAGAATTTCTGAGAATTGTCTTGACTTTTTCGGGTCTTGGACCACTTAGCTTCGATTGCACCATAGTGGTAATCAAAACGGGTGAAAGCTACTAGCACTTTGTATTTTGAGCCTATTGCAAATGTTTCCAAATGTCAAGTGGCATTTCGTGGTGGGAAAAGGAGTAGGAAAAAGTGCTCTACAAAGCTATTATTAATAAGAGGAAAGTGGGATGAACTATTGTGGAAAATTTCAACCACCCGCCTGGGTGGCGCTGCTGGAAAGGGCACTCTTCCTCTCGCAAAAGGTTGAGTGTTCAAATCCCGGGCGCCGCAGGGTGACTTAACCGGTGCACGTGTGTGGTGGCTAGGGTTTACCTCCCGGCTGTCGGCCGTGCGGGGGTTCCCTGGGTTACCAAAAAAAAAACTATTGTGGAAAATTTCATGTATCAGTCAATGCCAAATGGACCTTCTAGTCTCTACCACGTGGTTGCTCATCAAAATAATCTTATATCTAGGATAATTATTTTTTTTTGCTCATGTGGGTAAGAACCACCGAAGTATATATTGTTTAATTCCTCTTGGTCAATCCGATAAGGATTAAGATTTTGCTTCTTTTTTTTTTTTTCTATTTCATGGAATCTTAGAGGACCGAAGTAGGAGTGGTAGAGGGGCGAAAAGCTGATTAAATGGCCGATGTCTTGTGGTTAAGGAAAGGGAAAATGACATAAACAGTCCCTGAATTTTAGCCCAATGTGCAATGTGGTACTTGAATTTTTCATTTGTCCAATGTTGTCCATGAACTTTTAGTATAAGTTCAATTTAGTCCCCAAATTATATGAAAATCTCCAATGTAGTCTTTCCATTAGTTCAAGTTCAAGGACTACATTGAACATTTTCATATAGTTCGTGGATTATATTGAACATGTACCAAAAGTCCATAGAGCATGTTAAATAAATTAAAAGTTCAAAGACTGTTTGCGTCATTATCTCTTAAAGAAACTATCTTACCTAAGGCTAGGCACCAGCCTCACTAATTGTCTCAACATGCAATAACCAAGCAAAAGACAACATAGGCATAAAGGCAGATGGAGGAATTGTCCAATCAGTCTTAAACCTATTATACAAATGCCAATTAAGTCATAAGCTTTCCAATATTGCAAATTAAAACCTAAATATTTGCACGAAATTCCAATAACAAGTCAATTTTCCCCGAAAATCGCTAATATAGTGGTATGCCATGTAGAATGGCCACGATCACATGGCCACGTAGGCTATATCCGACAAAAATTGACAGGAAGTACTATACCGAAATTTCGAGCAAATGATAAGAAAAAAATTGGCAAAATTAAAAAGCTCGTGACTAAATTGGCATTTGTACAATAGATTTAGGCATTATTAGGTAATTTTCCATTAGAAACATTGATGAAGAATAAGAGATGGCTTGCTTTTCTTTCTCCACCGAGCACATGAAGGGCAGAGAAAACGTTCTCAGTTATCAACTTGTCAGGATATGCAAGTGTTCCTTAAGATGCTGTGTTGCTTCCTAAATTATCTCGAGATCTTCATCATATTCCTTTGAAACACAAGAGAATTGAGACCATTTGTCCAAACATACCAGTTAATCTTGACGACAGCGCCTCTTTTTTATTCAAGATACGACTTCTTCTTCTCTTTTAATGTAGTATTTTCAGTTAACTTGTGCATGCCGGACTCTATAATCCCTACATAACAAGTTTAAGTGTTATGATAGAAATCCCCCGACTTCGTACTATAACCTTCGCTCAATTTTTTATTCTACAGTTTTTAAGTTTATACTAATGTTGCATCGCGTGTGTGGATCCTTATCCGATCCTATTCCCCTTCAACAATCTCACCTCAATCTTTCAATTATCCGATTCGTACACAAAACGGAGATATCAAGACTCTCGTATTCATTGCTTATACATGGAATTTCATTGGAAACTCAGGTACATGTCATCTCTCCACATAACATAACAGCTTAAACTCTTGGTTGGCATATCCTTGTAACAACGAAATATGGGGAAAGATGCTCGAAATGCAACTTGCATTTTGAATTTGCCACCTTTTTCACTGGAAACATCATAGACTGTTCCTCAATACCATTTGCTCAAGCAGTTAGCTTGAGCAACCACAACCGCAATAGTTATTCCCGTGGAAATTTATGAAACTAAGAACACGAAAACCTAATTAAACACCTACTATAGAATCAACCCAAGTAAGGGGCATCCCGGGGAAATCATCAAAAAAGTCTTAAACTTATTGCACTTGTGCCAATTTGAGTTCTAAACATTTTAATTGTGCCAATTGAGTCATAAACATTTTAATAATTTACCAATTTTGGCCGAAAATTGCTAATATGGATGCCAACTGTCCACGTGGCAAAGCCGACGCTGGTGTAGACAATTTCACAATTTAAAAAAATTGAATTTTTTTAATATTTTTATTTTGTTTTCTTTCTTTTTCTTTTTTCTTCTTCCTTCGCCGATCGTAGAGCCTCGGCAATGGCCGTAGATTGGCCACAAGCAAGGGCTGACCTCGTCGGCTTCGAGCGAGGCTTGAGCTCACCAAGATCTACAAGGCTAGTGAGGCTCAAGGTTGCCGAGATCGGGCAAAGTGGAGCCTCGCTAGCCTCGGGCGAGCTCGAGCCTCCACCTCGTCGATCCTCCCTTGTGGCTGTTGTCGGCCATTGCCGAGGCCTAGCGACCGACAAAGGAACAAGGAAAAAGAAAAAATAAAGAAAGAATAGAATAAAAAAATAAAAATATTTAAATTTTTTTATTTTCTTTAAATTGAAAAAATTGTCCACATGAGTGTCGATCGTGCCAAAATTAATCGAAATGACTAGATTGGCAAATTGTCAAATGGTTTATGACTCAATTGGCACAATTGAAAAGTTTAGGACTGAATTGGCACAAGTATAATAGATTTATGAATTTTTTGGTAATTTTCCCGGCGCATCCGTATACTTTCTACTCGGGAATTTATGATTATGTGTTCAATTTCTATGACCGGGGAGCTTAAATTTAAGTAAGGGACCATGACGGTGTACTATTGTGCTAGTTCCCTTTCAAATAGCCGGCTAATTAGGATCACGCTCCTTAAATTTAAGTAACGGACCATGACGGTGTACTATTGTGCTAGTTCCCTTTCAAATAGCCGGCTAATTACGATCACGCTCCTTAATTATCATAATGCGTGTGTGTGAAAATTCCGGACATGAGGGCACGAGTGGAAGCGGCTAGCGTGTGGATGCATATGATAAAACGAGTCAAGTCCGAGACTCGTGATGGTGGAATGAGAGACCTTTCAAGGCAAGTAGGTGTCCGTGAGAATGAGAACAAACCTGCCGGCAAGGCCAGGATTTCTTACAAATTTCTGAAGTTGACTGACCTCGACCTTGACTTTAAGAGATCATGCGTATCCTTTGCGCATACATATATTTAATTCGAGATTTTTTATGTTCGGTTTTATCCATCCTCATATGAACACTCGTTCAAACCAATTCTATAACTAAAATAAGCATGTCTCCTCGAAATAAATAATCGTTTTTTTCCTGATTTTTTTAAAAAGCATCGATAGCTCGGGTCTTTATTATGGCAAAAATAATTTTCGCTCTCATAAAAAAGCGCCAACTTTAACACGAGTTCTGATACGGAGCTAAACTTTTTTTTCATAAAAAATGACCAACTTTAGCTCGGATTCTAATTTTATCCCGAACTTGTTTTTGTCTAATAAAAAAACAAAATTTCAATCGGTACCCAAATCTGGCTCTCGTCAAATTTATATCCAATGATGCCGTTAAAGATTGGACGTGTCATTCCACATACACTCAGCGACTCAGGTTTGTGTGGAAGTGGAAGGATCGCACACAGTCCGAGAGCTTCCCTTGTTTTTGGACGCTGCCGATCGAGAGTTCAAGGTTCCGCTTTTC